ACGCGAGCTCCCAAACCTCCTCCTTGTCCGCGTGCCTCTCGTCGCAAATCATCGCCAGCTCGTCAGCGGGGATCTGACGTCAGCAAGCGCCACCTCCCCCGTGCGCTCTGATTGGCTTGCTGCGAGAGAAAACTTTTTTCCGGCGTTCGAAATTGGTCCTAGAGCGATCTTGCTCTCCGCTTGGAAATTCTGCCTGCTTTCGTAGCCGGGCGTCAAAATTCTCGCGGATCCGGCAGCAGGTACGGAAGTGTGAACGAGGCATTAAAGGGGTACGGAAACAAAATTTTAGCGCCGATCTTTCTGCATAAATATGGGCTAGGGACAGACACCACCTCGGAAATATCGATATCGCGCTGTAAAATACAGAACTAATTTTAAACCTAATTAAACGATTTCAAATTCGCATCTGGTGGATGGTGGGAAGTTCTCGTGACATCACTTGTGGCATAGGAGCAGCGCCATTCTGTGGGAATACGGCGTGCCGGCAGAATTCGCCTATAGGCCTGAACGCTTTTGCAAAGCCTTGGCGGAGAAAGCCAAAGAGTAGTTGGCCACAGTGAGCTCGTTCGCGTTGCGGCTCTTTGCACGACACGACCCGAGCGTGCTTTGGCACGGCCGGTATTAGCTGCTGCGAGTTGCGAGCTGCGAGCCGACGTTAAGAAAGATATGTTTGAACTACGACAGTGTCAACAAGAGCCACGCAAATACCTGTTCAAACTCGGATCGGACACGCGCGTGTGATCGAAGTGCTGGATTCGCTCTGTTAGACCGCGTTTCGGTAAGCGCTTCTGGACCGTTCTTTTACGATTGCAACTCGATACTGACATGACACTCGGCAAAGAAAGGTTGGACCGACAATCGCGTAGCTCCCACGAACTGCTATAGCTCGACAGTGACCTAGCGTCGTATCGGAATAAAAATGGCATACTAATAACAAAGTGTACATACCATGTTGCCAAGGTAATCCGTATGGCGTTTATTTGAGTTTTAGATCACACAAAACAAGGAGATAGAATCAGTCAGAGTCCCATTTCGACGACAGCGTTCGTCACCGCTGTCTCGGAAAACAAGGAGATGGAGATGACAAGGGGAAAAGATTGACCTCTGAAATTTAGTTCAGGGATCAAACTATTCATCCGGGAAGGGTTCACAAGGGTCACGCGGGCATATTCCATTCAGCAGGCCAGCCGGTCATGGGCAGACGGTCTTGGCCAAGGACCGCCGGAGGAACGGTGCGCCAAGTCGGTGTTGCTGCTAAGCCTACTATATCTGCCGAGCTCGCTTGGTCGATAGAATCCTGGCCGTTGTAGCTCTTCTCGGGTGTTTGTGGATCCTGCGTTCTTGATCGCCGCGGCCTGTTTCAAGTACTCCTTCCTTTTTTTCTTGCTGGTTGAAGTCGGGACGCACGAGAAGAGCACGTAGAAAAATAAATGTCCGTTGGTCGTCCCTACCAAGTAACTGAGCAATGCTGTCGGCCATGTTGATTTGATCGTAAAAGCTGCGGAGCTGTCGTAGGATTCTGTCGTAACCTGCGCAAAAGCTACGACAATTTCGTTTCGAGAATACGGGTTTTCTCTCAAATTTGTCGTACGCACTTTTTTCGTCGTAAGTTCGCTTTGAGAATCCGGCCTCAGAGCTGGTTTGTCAGTGGTGCCGTGGTTGCCGACTTGCCGTGGTGCAGCGTGCGTGCAGCCCTTGCACATCTCAAACGGCCACGTTGTCACAGGTCGTAAATAGTCGACGCGCCACCAAATGGCAACGCTCGTAACCACAACATCCACGCCGTAGCCTTTCCCGTCTGGCACAAGCGACGTCACGAATGCGCCCAATATCCCAAGACGCATCGCGCTCTCCGATGGCTGATTTTTGAGCGCGCGCCCCATCGGGCCCCTCAGGGTGAAAAATATATAGCCATCCCTTCAAAATACAAACGCGCGATTATGATTTACGGATATCATTGATCATATTGAACCTATTTCTGACCATAATAGCTGTATTTCAAGTTTCGCTTCAGTATCCCTTTAAGCGCCCGTTTCCGGCTTGAGCGGCGTCGGCGTCGCCGTCGCCGTCAACGTAACCACGTGGTGCATTATGGGAAACGTCCTATAATGCACCGCGCCGAAACATTACGCGACGTTTCGCGCGTGAAAAAAGGAGGAGGGGAGGGGAGAGGGTACGGATGAGAAGGAGGGGCATACCCTCCCCTCAGTGCCCTTCCCTCCTCCTCCTCAAGAGCTGTGCTCTAAATCGGCGTTACAGGAAGTTGTAAACGTCTTTCATTTTTTAACTCCATTCTTAAAACTCCACCTGTGAGTAGAGCTCTGAAAAAATAGACAAATATATTTCTTTCTTTCTTTTCTTTTTCTTTTCTTTGAATTGAGTTGGCGTGCTTAGTTTCAAGTAGCGCTCTGATAGTACCCGGAGCCACGCGCTCCTGCGTTCCCGCTAACTGTGATTAAGGTAGTACGTTTGAAAATTGAATTTCGCAAGGCGCGCCGAATGTGCTGGTTTTTGCGGCCGCTGCCCGCACATCGGATGCTTGCAGGAACAAGGGCTCTGCAATGATGTGGTGACCTTTTGCAGCTGTTAGAGCGGATATTATTCACGAGAATTCGTAAAAATGAAGGTTCTCCGAAATTCTTTTTTGTTGCTGTTTTCTTTTTTTTTTTTTTTTCTTGTAGACGAAGTGTTGATGAAAAAAAAACACGAAAATAGGCGCACAGCCACTCTGAAATAAACGTATCTTAATCCTTCAACTAAAGTTCGAAGACATTGAATGGGCACCGTGTTGTGTTGTTGACGTTGTCTTTTGTTACTGTTGTCGTTGTTGTTGTTTGCTTGTTGCTTAGCTACCCTCGATGTTTATTTATGAGCGTTTCTGAGCTACAAAAGCAAGCTGCGCATAACGTGTCGGCCGTAGTCAGGAGACACGTCGATCGTGTTCGTGGTGCGGGCAGGATATGCAGGGCATTTCCGGCACGTGCCATACTGATATCTCTAGGATATAATCCCCGTGAGTGAAGGTGTAATTATCCGTAAAGAGCCCGGAAACTGCACCTCCTTTGGGTGACCGTAAGCAACATCATTCTTTTTTTTTTTTATTGCGTTGGCGTGTTCAGTTAGAGGTATATGTACGTTTTAAACGTGAATTTTGCGAGGCGCGTCAAATGTGCTGGTTTTTGCGGCCGCTACCCGTGCACCGGATGCCTGCAGCAGCAAGAACTCTGCCGTGATGCGGTGACCTCTTGCAGCTGTTACAGCGGATGTTGTTGACGACAATTCGTAAAAATGAAGGTTTTCCAGGGTTCTTCTGTTTTATTGCTGCGTTTTTTTTTTTTTTTTTTTTTTTTTTTTTTTATAGCTGAAGTGCAGACGCAAAAAACACAAAGATAGGCGAACAACAACTCTGAAATAAATGTATCTTAATCTTTCAACTAAAGTTCGAAGACACCGAATGTGCGCCGTGTTGTGTTGTTGATGTTGTCTTTTGTTGTTGTTGTCATTGACGGTTGTCGTTGTTGTTGTTTACTTGTTGCTTAGCTATCCTGGATGTTTGTATAATAACGTTTCTGAGCTGCAAAAACAAGCTGCACTAACGTGTCTGCCGTATTCGGGAGGCCCGTCGAACGTATTCGTGATCCACGCAGAATATGCAGGGCATTTCCGGCACATGTCATACCGAGATCTCTAGGATATGATCCCCGTGAGTAAAGATGTAATGATCTCGTACAACGCCCGAAAACCGCACCTTCTTTCGGTGATTGTAAGCAACATCACAACTGCATAAGGTAAATGGAAACGGTCAGCTAGAACGATACGGACAAAACAGAGACTGGTCCTATCGTTCTAGCTGACCATTTCCTTTTGCATTATGTACCAACTATCTCAACTTCAGCCTGTTACGCATAGGGTATGTTCACGTTTTGGCAGGAACACCATAAAAGTTATAATCCGCCTGTGTACAAGATTCAGCAGAAGCTCCTCAGCGTAAGGGCCACAGGAGCAACGTAAAGTGGGCAAGTGGTTGGGGAAAAGGGACAGCCCAATTAGGGTTTATTAACATGCTGGGAAGGGTAGAAACATGTTAATTAAGAGGAAGGAGATTGGAGTACAATTAGAGGCGGATAATTGTTTTCTGTATGGGGCACCAGAAACACTCATTAGAGGTGGCTGAAAGGCCGGGGGGGGGGGGGGGGGGGGGTCTGAACACTCTTCTGGGGTATGGGTATCAGAAAACAGGAAATAACCCGAGGAACGAAAATACAGAACACGCCATTAGGGCTGAATTTGAAGAGATAAGCATATTATGTGCCGTATACCAGAGTGAGAGAGAGAGAAAGACGTTAGAACATGTGGTTTTGTAGTGCATGGGATTAGTCGATCCTGCCATCCCTGAAGAAGTAACAGATCTGGTGGGAGTGCTGGGTTTATCAGGCAGGGATGAAAGAACTGAGGATAAAAGGGTTACAGTCACAAAGAGGTGGTTAGATCATTGGTGAAAATTTGCAAGGGGAAATTGAATGAAGTAAAGCTAAGAAGCGCAGATGGTGAACAGTCGAGACAGTTAAAAATTGGGACTCTATCATGCATGGCTCCGCGGTTCAAAGTCTTAATCCTGTGCCTCAGTGGGTTCGCTGCTGGGTTGACGCCGACAAGGCTTCACAAAAATTGTCGACTTCCTCGCTGGGCGTGTGAAGAAAGAGGGACAAAAGCAATTCTTTGGAATTGCCTTTCTGTAGTTATTGCTACAGTTACCAATACGGATGATTTTAGACTTGCAATTACTAATTTGTTACTAATCCTGGCAATTTTCTATTATTATATTTAATTTCTTTCTTACTCTTATATGTGAGTTACAGTGCCTCACTCCTGACTGTTATGCCTTGAGAAAAAATAATTGAAAATGAATATGAAACCAAACTGGAAAGTAAGGTCCAGGGTATTTTTGACAGAATATTCAAGGTTTATTCATAAATACCACGACTTCAGTTGGCAGATTTTTACATAGCTGTGAAAACCGTTGGCGACCGAGGCTTATAGGCGTGCACGAGGAACACTTGACCATCGAGGGGAGAGTCGCCGGCATCTTTTTCGGCCCACCATTTGGTCGACTCCTCGGTCACATCTTTCAGTAGGAGAGGGCTTTCTTCTTCCGTTAGAACATATTTCAGAAGATTGTAAGACATCTGTACGGCTGAAAAAAAAAAAATTGGCAGCGACCTTTATCTTTAAAGCTTTATAATGAATGAAATGATGATAGGAAATTGGTGAGGGAATTGCTTGTCACATGACTTATATTCTCCTGCTAAATTTAGCGGGGAAACCGACTGCTTTTATAGGTCAATTTCCTCCGCTGAATTTAGCGGGTAACTGATTTGGTGAGTAGGTCACGTGACGTCAATTTCCTGCAAAGTTTATCGGGGTAACTGGATTGATGTTTCGGCGACAAGACGTGAATTTTCCCGCTAAATTTAGCGGGGAAACTGAGTTGACGCATAGGTCACGTGCCGTCAATTTTTAGGTCGCATGACGTCACGTGACTCCACTTTCCCTGCTAAATTTAGCGGAAAATGCAGGAACGGACGGACGGAAAATTTTTGGAATTGGATTGGGCATCGCGGCCCGCAACTTTTTCTGTAGTCCACCGCAACTGAGCTGAGACCGAGTATGTGCATTCGGGTAATTGAAGCTGTGCCATTATTTGAGATAACGCAGGCGTAAATTATTACGAAGTTCTGTTACTCGAATGTTAGCCGCTACAAATTTTGTATGGACGTTTGAACATGGTAATGCTTTAAGTTATTGCATTAATCTAAATGCGCAAGCCTCACATGTCATATCTGGTATATATTTTGGTGTTCCGACATGTTGTAATGATGTCGACTGGAAGAGCAAAACTGACTAAAAAAGAATTACTTAGGCCTAAATAGAAACATGATATACACCCACTCTCGGAACTTTAAATTTAACGACAGAAATACTCACCAATCAAGTTCTCCAGGTTGGGAAATGTGTGCTCCATTCGCAGTACCTCACACCTTGTTGGCGTCAGATCGGCGGTCCTCAAAAGACCCTTGATGTACGAGATAAGAGCTTCCTTATCCATTATGTCTACGCTCGGAGGAATGGGCTTCTCGAGGATCTATGTACGAAGGAGAAATGGCACAAACCGTAGTTGATTATTCCAGGGTGTCGAACCGGAACCGAACCGAACCGAAAACCGGAACCGAACCGGTATTTTTTCCGGAACTGAACCCGAACCCGAACCCTTATATTGTTATCGCGATGAACCCGAACCGGAACTGAACCGGAAAAAAAAATAACGGTTACTGGCTCATGTCAAAACGGTTCGGCCACGCGCTGTTGACAATGAATGTCCTATCAATGCCATTTGTTTTTTAAGTGCCGTCAACTGACACACACCTCGCTTACATATTTTTCTTCTCCACTCAGTCTTAGGAATATAAACGCTGCAGCCATGAATCTTGACAAACGCTGCATTCATGAATCTTGACATAGGAACCAGTATTGCGCTGGTCGCGGCTTGCACGGAAGAAAAAAAATTAAAAGGCTGTGCAAAAAAAAAAAAAAGATCGCGTCACGGGATTTTATTTTCCTACAATCTCGTAAATCCTAAATGCTGCTGTGTGCTCATTTCATAACACGTTTCTAGAACGCGCGAGTTCTTGAAGCTTGCTTCCATCGGAATGAGAAAAGAAAAGGCTGTGGAGTTTGATAATAATGCATCCGGTTTCGTGTAGGCACTTAGAAGCTAACATATTTGTGAGACAGCGAACTCTTCTATTTAAATATTTATCCTATTACGTCCTTCTGGCGTTGCGTTCTGTGAAGTGTTTTTCATATTCCGTATCTTGTTTAATGAAAACTTCTTTAAGGGTCTAATTTGAGTTACCGAAGGCTAGTTCAAATAAAGAAAGCTGTATTTTTTCCCCACTGTTCCTTCAATTGCTTACACGCCGAGGTGGCGGGATAGTTAGCGAGTTCTACTTGTAAGTTGGTTTGTTAGGAGGTCGCGGATTTTACAGCTACTGCGTCGGACCCAATTAGATGAAGTCCGAATGCGTAAACGTCGGTGAGGTAACCTTTGAGTGCACATAAAGAAACCATTCCTGGTAGAACTCCCTGAGCCTTACACTACGATGTATCCCGTTTCGTATATGCTGATTTCAGATGTTTTATTTGTAATTTATTTTGATGTTGCAATTTGTCATTTATAATTTCCGAACCGGTTCACGAACCGGTTCAGCGCCCCGAACCGGTTCGCGAACCGGTTCACGGATCGAATTAATCGAACCGGAACTGAACCGGAACAAAATAAATTTACCTGAACCTGAACCGTAACCGAACCCGTATTTTTTTATGTTCGACACACTGGATTATTCACTGGTTGCACGAACCGCCACAAGCCCATTCAAATTATTCATAATCGGGTGATGAGAATATTTTTCTACTTTCGCTAAATACTATTTACAGCCCCATCTTAAAATTTATGACTAAATAAACTTACCATAGGTTTTTTTGTTTTTTTTCTAGGCAGCGGCAGTTGTTGAAAAAATTCGAGAAATAAGAGCATCGTTCATCCCCTCAACTCGGAGCCAAAGCAAGCGGCTATGTAACCTGGTGCCTCTCCTATGCCGCCAAAGTTAATCATAGCCACGCGCTGGGGTTGGCAAAGTAGAAAACGCATGCTTAGCTCCAGGGATTGTAAAGGCCGGTTCAGACATTTGCGTTTGAGTGCATTTGACTGCGTTGAGTCGAGAACCGAAAGCGAGTCACCGGCACATCTGTGCTTCGTGTGAAGCGTGCAATCCAATTCAAAGAATCATCTTAGCACGCGATATAAGTAGCAGGGATGTCCCTGCTGCCACAACGCAGTCAAACGCAGTCAAACGCAACTGTCTGAACCAGGCTTTAGAGTTCGGCTATTCTCACCACCGCAGTGGTTGGACACGAGCCACTACTCGAGTCTCCTCGGAGATATTGATTGTTACGAGCCGAAGTCGAGTGCTCCCGCAGTTCTCGTGTCCAATTCATAAGCCGCGCTCGACTGTCGTCAGGCGAGCGGTTTCAATCCCAGAATTACGTCATCGAGCTTTGCGAAGGCAAGACTTAAAGAAATAGTCCCCTTTTATCCTCAGAATTGCACCGCGACCAAGAAGCTTTCGAATCAGTGGCGGTCTGTGCGAGTATACTTGGGCCAGACGATACCCTATTTCACCTTATGATGTACCGCAGAAAGGGCTACACGCGTCCTTGATCTAGGGCAGATCTCGGCGGCGCAAGCCCTCGTGCATTAAGGGTAGCTGCTAACACTACGAGCTCGCGCCTCGAGCCTTCGCTGCGGTACAACATAACGTGAAACTGAGTATAGAACCAGCACGCCTCTGCAAAGTCAGGAACATTCCAACCCGATATCGTTTTATGACCCCCGTAGGAAACAGAGTGTGTAGCTTAATATGATCGCGTTATTTCTTGGCTTGTGATTCGTTCTTTGGGGTTGTTATAAGCAAATGTTGGAGTCACATTGGTTTCGGAGTGATAAGATGTTTACGAGTTGCCACCAACAGCGTTTTTTTTTTCTCTCTTCTTAGTACCTATAAATTAGTCTTACAATTCGCAAATCAACATTCTCAATAATTGTGACTTTTAGGGGCTGTAGGCTGCAATAATGATTCACACGGGGACTGTTTAAAGAAAACTTTACACTTTAAAGGTGCCCTGAGGAGGTTTGTAAGATCGCCTAAATATGGTGATAACTCACTCTGCTGGCTGTAAGCATCCTAGAACTCTCCTAATCACTTTATAACGATACGCGGTCATTTCCTCATAAAAAAAAGCAATCCAAGATCGAAACACAGCCAAGTCACCTCCGGCGATGGGAGGAGCATGTTGCGAAACCAGGGTCACTGTCAGCCAATAGCAAGTAAAGATTCCTCGCGCCTCCGACCGCTAGAACCGCGGAGTGATATCTAGAATGCGCGCGGCTCGTTGCCCACATAGAGCCCGGACAACCATTCAACACGGCGAGCGCGCGTTCAAGAGCTGACGATCGGACACATCACCCCCGTGGAAAACAGAATAAAGAAGACAAGAGAGAAGAAACATACTGCGCTCGCTTTAAGACGATTATTGCAGTATTACGTTCCCTATCCGCGAAAAATTAACATTTTTCGACAACAAAAAATTAACATTTCTCGATTCCTCTTATTTGCTTTTATCATATATAAGTGTACACACATTTTGTGACAACCCCCAGCGTCTGCAATCTCAATAAGATGTCGCGTTTTCATTGGTCACCTGTCGTCCTGGCTGCCGGAACAATGCTCCTCGCACCGCCGGAGATGTCCTCGGTGTGTTCGATCCTTGATTGCTTTTTTAATAGGGCAATCGGCCGCTAATCTTATGATTTATGGATTTCAAGGATGCTTAGAGCCCGCAGAGGTGAGTTATCGCCATATGTAGGCGATCTCGGAAACTTCCTCAGAGCATCTTTAAGAAATCTGACGCGTCACAAAGCGATTGGGGGAGCAAATTGCTGCAATCTAGGCTCGGAAAATGACGATGCTAAAAAATATGTTTAGACCTTAAGACTGAGCACGGTTAAACGTCATACTCAGTGCCACAGCGCAGACTATTCAAAGGTGAAACGTTTATAGCCTACAGGTTTTCACCAGAAGCCTCAAAAAGCGTAATCTTGATTTCCCCTCTAAACTTAGCTGAGAAAATGACGTCACCTCGCTCACGTGACCTATACGCAAATTCAGTTTCGCTGCTAGACTTTGCGGAAAGATTGGCGTCACGTGACATGATCTCACGTGATGCTATATAAAAATTCAGTTTCCCCGCTATGTTTAGCGAGAAAATTGACGCGTGTCCTATAAGCAATTTCAGTATCCCCGTTAAATTTAGCAAGAAACTTGACGTCACGTTACCTACACATTAATTCAGTTTACCCGCTACATTTAGCGGGAAAATTGATACGTCAAAAGTGGAATTAGCACCACTACCTCCACTAGCTCTAAATAACACTAACTCTACTCTAATTTTTAGTCTAACTCTAAATAACTCTAAACGTGTATTCACAATGGTGTTCAAATCGCAAAACACGAAGCGGGTCGGCCCGTTTTCATCATCAAACGCGCGTGAAATTCTATGGAATCTTTAAGCAACCGCGCTCGGAACCGCTTTGTGAACGTGGTTCTACCGCCAGTGTGAATACGGCGCCATTCTAGCTCAAACTCTAACTAACCCTAACTCTAACTTTAACTCTAACTTTAAATCCATTCAATTCTAACTAACTGTAAATCTAACCAACTTTAACTGACTCTAAATTGAACTAACGCTAACCGCCGAATTCACAAACCTCACTCCCCAATTGAGGCGCTCCTCCAGTTCCCCAAGGATGGCGCGAGCGCCAGCGCTGGCCAATCTCGACGACGGATAGGCGGCCTAGGCTGCTTATCTTTCGTCGGGATTAGACAGCGCCGGCCCTCGTGCCTTCCATGGGAAGTGGAGGGGCGCCTCAATTGGAGTGAGGTTTGTGAATTGGGCGGTAACTAACACTAACTAATGATATTGTAGTGAGTGCGCAGGCGAGCTGGTGGAAATTAACCATTCTGATGTTAGCCTGAGACTGAGGCAGGAAAAGAGGAAGTTTCAAAGTAGAAGAAAAAGGAACAGTCGAGGATACGTCTCTAACACAGCTAAAGACAAGTTTATTCGGTCACCCTCTTATATACACTCCACAATCTTCACCACAGAACCTTCGCGACCTCCAAAGCCAAAAGATAACAAAGAACTCATCTCTTTCCACCACAATAATCAAACGACCTTGACAATCCTACAAAGCCCCCTCACTAACACAACCTATCTCCTCTCTCCCGGAAGACGATCGACCTTCGCGTACATAGCACACCCTCCTCCTCTCCTCCCCGGCCCACAATCCCGAAACAACCCGGCAACAAAAGATACCAATCCACCTGATCCAAACCAAAGACACAAAGGAGGAAACAACTTACACCCTTTCACAATCAACTTGATTGTGAAAGGGTGTAAGTGGTTTCCTCCTTTGTGTCTTTGGTTTGGATCAGGTGGATTGGTATCTTTTGTTGCCGGGTTGTTTCGGGATTGTGGGCCGGGGAGGAGAGGAGGAGGGTGTGCTATGTACGCGAAGGTCGATCGTCTTCCGGGAGAGAGGAGATAGGTTGTGTTAGTGAGGGGGCTTTGTAGGATTGTCAAGGTCGTTTGATTATTGTGGTGGAAAGAGATGAGTTCTTTGTTATCTTTTGGCTTTGGAGGTCGCGAAGGTTCTGTGGTGAAGATTGTGGAGTGTATATAAGAGGGTGACCGAATAAACTTGTCTTTAGCTGTGTTAGAGACGTATCCTCGACTGTTCCTTTTTCTTCTACTTTGAAACTTCCTCTTTTCCTGCCTCAGTCTCAGGCTAACATCAGAATGGTTAACACTAACTCACCACTAACTCCACTAAACACTTGTTTTAGCGCTGGTGGTTTAGCACCACTAGCGCTAAACCAATAATGTTTCACGCAGCAATGCAATTGCGGGGCAATATGTGACACCGTTTTACGTGTAAACATACTCTTCAACGTCTTCGTTCTACGAGCTTGCTTTGCAGATTGCAACAAAAGTTGGTTAAAATGCATAACGCGCTTGAAAGAGGCAGTATTTTAAGTGCTTTGCGGGAAAGTAGACACAAATATCTCATAGTGTATAGACTAGTCGCGGTAGTTTCTTCAAGTGCAATATATGCATTAAGATTCCAGATGTCCGTAATGCCTATAGCCAATGGAACGTCGACAAATATTGGCCCTCAGAAGTAACGATTAGCTCTTCTTGGCGTAAATGTTTCGTTATCCTTAAAAGGGGCGTAACATTTGGAGGGGGGGGGGGGGGGTTGGTTACCGAGGGTTAAAAGACAGAAACTAAAAAAATACAGCTATTAACTCACCTCTTTGTACTTCTGCCAACGGTCCATTGCGGCCATTTTTTTGTGAAACCGCGTCGTAGGGCTGGAAGCGTTAAAGAGTAGAAGACACCCTCCTCCGGGTTTAATCATTCTGGCGACATTCTTCAAGGCCGTCGCTTGGTCCTTCATCCAGTGCAAGCAAAAGAAAAAGTAGACGCGATCGAACTCTCCGTGGCGCTCGACGAAATCGGACACATCCTCAGACGCAATGTCCAGGACATCGTAGCAGATCTTGGGATGGGCGAAATGCTCCCGCGCATACTTCACCATGTCCTCGGACACATCAACGGCCATGATTCTTCGGCACGGCGGGCAGCGGGGAAGAAGGCAGTCGCGCGTAAAGTCTCCAGGACCGCAGCCCACGTCGAGAAACTGCTCGTCGGAGGTGTCCTCACTCCCAAATGATCCTTGTAGTAATTCCAAAGCATCGATGCCATTTCGCCGCTGAATTTCATTGTTCACCACGTACTCGTCTGGCTCGAGGGTGCGGGAACTAGTCTCGTCTTTCATGGACATGTTGTAGACCGTAAACAGACTATCGGTAATGGCAAATATATATATCTTCGGTGGTTTGATTATAGTGGCGCTTGAACGACGCTCCTTTCTTTTCGCGTTCAAAGAGTGTTTTTTTGGCGTGACTTCAGGCTACTGAAACGAGGACATATAACCCTTGAATTACCCTTTGCGTTCCGCGAGTTCCTGATACCTAACTGCAGCGAGCGCTGCCCTCCGAACTTGTGCAGCTTGAGTGTGCAGAAACAGCTGGTTGCCACGAGCAGAACTTGTCGCGCTCTTCCGTTCGGCTCTTTATAGGTCAAATCTTTTTCTTTCTTTTTTCTAAGCAGGTTTTTATTTGAATTGGTCGAGGGGCAGAAATTTCAAACTAGGTCAATAGACCCTTTCAGAAATTCAGTGCCATCTGGTGGTTCGTAAAGCAGTTTAGGTTTTGCCCTATCAATGGCGGAAATGAACTTGTATCGGCACCGTCACTTTCGCAAGTCGACGGCACGCGAGGAATTGTTCAGTGTGAGTTCTTTCTCGATCACTTTCAGGTCGATGGTGACCAAGAACGTGCATTCAGAACAAAGCTCCAACCCACTGAGATGCCTCGAGAAAAGCCGATTGTGTGCCACGACAGATTGACTGAATCTGAGCAATTAGAAATAAACGCTTACGTAGCTCTTGTGTTCCAGCTCTACGTCGCGTCGTACTGACCCCCGAACGTACAGGCCTCGCAATATCCGCTTAGGAGCATCTTCAACGTCTTCCTTTATCAGTCACTAGAAGGCCGCCATTCGTATGGCACAGATGCCGTTCCACAGATGATGATAGTGATCAAAGTGGCCAGACTGAATTTCGGAAAGGGTCTATTAACGGAATGTATAGGATGCCTGTTGGGAACAAAACTGCGCTACTTATTTTATACAGCAAAAAAAAAAATGAAAGACGTTTACAACTCCCTGTAATGCTGAATTAGAGCGTAGCTCTTGAGGAGGAGGGGAGGGTACGGAATAGAGGGTATGCCTTTCCTCTCCTCCCCTCCTCCTCTCCTGCTCCCCTCCCATTTCGCGGAAAAAAATTCCCCGCTAAATATAGCGTAAAAATTTCCTCGACAAATTTAGCAGAAAAATTTCGCGTTAATATAGCGGAAAAAAATTCCCGCTAAATTTAAGGGGTAAATTTTTCCGCTAACTTTTGAGGCAAAGTTTTCCGCTAAATCTAGCCTGGAAGTTTTTCCACCAGATTTAACGGGGAATTTTTTCGGCAAAAATTAGCGGGACATTTTTACGCTAAATATAGCGGGACATCTATCAGCTAAAGTTAGCGGGAATTTTTCTCCTGAAGTCAGCGGGACATTTTTCAGCTAAAGTTAGCGGCAAACGTTTCCGCTAAATTTTGCGGGGAAATTTTTGCGATAAATTTAGCGGGGCATTTTTTTCAGTTGAATTTAGCGGGGAATGTTTCCGCTAAATTTACCACGGAATGTTTTTCGCTTAATTTAGCGGGAACATTTTCCAGCTAAATTTAGCGGAAAATTTTTCCGCTATATCTAGCGAGGAAATGTTTCCATTGAATTTATTAGGGATTTTTTTGGGCTAAATTTAGTGGGGAGCTCCTTGCGCTATTTTAGCGGGGAATGTTTTTCGCTAAATTTAGCGGGGAAGTTTTCAAGATAAATTTTTGGGAAATTGTTCCGCTATATTTAGCAGGGATCTTTTACCGCTAAATTTAGCGGAAAGATATTCCCGCTAAATTTAGCGGGGAAATTGTTCTGCTAAATTTAGCGGGGAAATGTTTCGGCTAAATTAAGCGGAAAATTTTTCCGTTAAATTTATCGGAGAAAGGTTTCTGCTAAATCTAGCGGAGAATGTTTTTCCGCTAAATTTAGGAAGAAAAAATTTCCTCCTCCTCCTCTCTTGTGACGTCACACGTGACGCCCTTATGGGAAACGTCCCATTATGCGACGCGCAGTTACGCCGACGCCAACGGCGACGGCGACGCCGCTCAAGCCGGAAACGGGCGCCTAATCGCTGCGCTCTAAAAACGTAGATGTATCTCCTATTGAGCAAAAACACGCTCTACTTTCATTTGATTGAAATCGACAGCTATACAGGGTGTTCGCGCCACTACCGCCCGCCATGACAGGGGGATAGATATACTTCCGATTCTCCCAGGTTTACGATGTGTTTGTGGACCACCTCCTAGATAAGAAAGATTAAGTGGTCTCCTGCTTCACTAACGAAGGCCACCGTAAAGCCACAGAGGGGACACGACCACGACGTCAGCGTTCGACTAGGAGTCGTGTTCTCACTGATTTGACACGAGTTCCAACCTGTTAAAACGGAGGTTCGGGCGAGTTGGTTGTTCATGACTGACAAGGAAACAGCGCACCCTCAAAACAAGCACTCTAAAGCTTTCATGCACACAAAAGAAAGAGCCACTTACATAGAGCTGACTGACAGCTCTAGGTTACATTTACAATTTTTGTTTTCGTCTTTCTTTGTGGACTAAGGTTTCTATGGCAAAAAAATTGCCCTTGTCTTCTTCCTTCTTCTTCCTGTGTTTTTGTAATATGGAAGCTAAACCCCACAATTATTGTAAGGCTAAGTACTCTAGTTCTTTTTTTGATAACATTATAGAAGGAGATCTGACACATCTCTCCTCTTGTCTGGCAATTTTCTCTGCTTCCATAATTTATCTTGTTAGCTTGTCGTGGTTCCTGCCTAACACTGTGCGTTTCTCCAGCTGCGCAGAGCAGCCACACTGTCGGCAGTAAATTCCCAGGTCTCCGGAGCTTTTGTTGGTGATAGTGCAGTTGTGCTCACGAAGGCGATCGTTGACGCACCGTCCGGTGTGTCCTATGTGTTGTCGTCCACAGGATAGAGCGAAGGAGTAGACTACCTTTTCGGTACACTGTACGAAGTTGTTTTTATGTTTGTTCGTGCACCTGCAGGACTGTGGTTCTTGTGGGTGTATTTACTCTCTTGCACAGGCTATGAAGTTTGTTAGGGGCTGAGAAGACGATTTCCAGGTTAACTCTATTAGCTCTTTTCTTTAGACCGTGTGAAAAGTTGTGAATATATGGCACAATGATCGGTTTTTTGGCCCTGTCTTTTTCTTTTTGTTTAATGTGGTCCTCATGTTTGATGTCTTTGATGAGTCTTTTGGCCACTGATGTTAGTAAGGAGGTTGGATATTCTGCGCATTTTAATCGCGAGAGTTGTCCGTTGAAGCCTGTTTGCATGGAATGGCAGCATGATTTTGTAATTGCGTTGTTGAGACTTAACCGCGCAATGCTCCGCTTAAAAAGTTTCGAGTGCGCCGAGTTGAAACGTAGAAGCGGCTTTTTCCCCCTGGGCTTATAGGACCAGCAGACATGATAAGGTAAAATAAAGAGTCGCAGATCCAGAAATCTTAACGAGTGTTCAACTGGAAGTTCATGCGTAATGTCTAAAGGGTTCATGCAGCCTTTAAAGCTGTCTAGAACTTCGGCAACCATGGTTGTAAAGTCGTGATCATCGGTTTCTAGCACTATTAAATAATCGTCAACATACCGGAAAATTTTGATAACTTTGAAGGTTTCTAAGGTGTGCTGTAACTGCCTGTCTTGGTGGGCAAGATAGAAGTCGCTAAGGACAGGGGTAATGCATGATCCTATGCAGACTCCCTGCTTTTGTAGGTATGTGTGAATATTCCAAGTAGCGAACGTGGATTTGAGATAGAGGTTAAGTTCAAAATTTCTCCTTGGAATATGCCTGATGCATTCTGGAATGCAATAGTGCCATAGGTGTCTATGCTCTCCTCAATGTACTGTAGATGACTGTCTTGGGGCAGGGCATAGTATAAGTCCTTAATGTCGATGGAGAACACTTTAAGCTTTTTCCGGCCCTGATGCTCATGGAAGAAGGTGAAGACGTCGTAGGAACTTCCGATCAGGTACGGATCGTCAACGGTGAGCATATTCAGTCTTTCTTGTAAATATACGGCCACTGACTTTTGCCACGTTTCGTTTTCAGAAATTAGAACTCTAAGGGCGCAGGCTGTTTTGTGAGTTTTTGCGCTGAAGAATAATTCTAGGCTCAACTTTTTACTGCGATCAATATAGGAGCAGAGCTGTTTTAAATCTTGCAATTGGCAAATTGTTTTGCTTCCCTTTTCACTTTTTCCAGAGATGTCTCCTTGTGTCTGCAGAAAACAGATTCCACTGCTGTTAATGCCTTTTCTCGAAATGTGTCCTCCTGCATGAGGAGAAAGCCTCTATCCTTGTCAAAGGGCATAAGATATAGTGAATGCTTTTTGAGGTATGTTTCTACCTTCCGGATGGGTAGAGGAGTAACTGATGGCTTTTTCCGAAGTAAGTCCACTCCTTCAGAGGTGCAACGACCAATCTCGGTCTCAGGCGCTCGTCTTGGCACCTGCCTGACGATGGAAAGTAGCTCTGGTTTCGTCTTCTTAGGTTCCACCGCGAACTTCGGGCCTAGATTGAGAACATGCTGCACAGAGTCTGGTAAATGGATGTCGCCTATTGTGCGCACTGGGTTCCTCGAAGCCATTTCTTTCTTTGGTGTGTTGATGCGGAGGAACCTAAGAAGTGCGTTGGCGGGAAGATTGAATTGGGCTTCATATTTCTATTTTTTATTAAAAAACAACGTAACTCTATAGTAAAACAATTTTTTTTGTAATGTCCTAATATGCCATTTCAACGCCTAGCATAAAAAAAAAATTTTTGGCGTGTAAGAGGGTTTTTAACCTATACATACATATATATATATATAGATATATACAACACGGGCATTTCACACCATCGTACGTGGCCTCCGAGGAGGATATGAACGTATATGTGCAGATGAATGAACCGTACTTAATCCAATGAATCAAAGAATCAAAGTTTTCAGGAACCCGCCGAAAGCCAAAAATTGGCTTTCGGCGGGTCCTACCGAAAGCCAATTTATATATATATATATATATATATATATATATATATATATATGGGTGGTTTCATTTGAATTCGACCA